GTTCACTCAAATCACATTAATCTTTTTACCAAATTAGGGTTTTATAGAGACAAAAGTGAAATGCTGTATTATCAGAGTTTTGTTCTGTATAAAATATTCACTTAAAAGTATTTCACCCCCCAAAGAATTTCAAGCTTTTCAAGAACTGCAAATGGTGACAGTGACCCAAAAACCCTGCACAGGGCATTACATTCAATATCACCTGGCCTCACAAAGTTTAAAAAAGAATGCAAGCTATATATTGTTGCATTTTACATTTCAAACAATAAACAAAAACCTAACAACAAAATCTATAGCTGTGTCACCTCCTACATTGAATTGAGCTACATCTTCCGGTAATCTTCTCAATAAAAAAACTGACTCCTTTCTTCAAATGGCTAGTAAAGCAAGAATCATGTGTCTGCAGAAATTACAAGTTCGATTTTGAAGTATGTCTCACGCACACAAGATCATCCAATTTATTACCATCCATTTTGTACAAAGATACACTTTCCATTTGAACATAGTGATCCCTTGCTTCCTTCCTGAGACTCTCAAAAGGCATAATCTCCCATTTCTTGTAATTTGAATTTTTCCGAATTTCACTCATGTCTGGAGATCCTGATATTGGTCCACTGTCAGGATCTGCGTTGCCCCAAACCTTGCAATTGCCAAATTGTCCAGATTCACCAGCCTTACCAGCTTGAGCCCTCTTTAAGTGCAAGGCAACTTCATGAGCTCTCTTAATATACTCTGGGCTTGGCACATCAGACCAGTCTTGTTTCCTTTTGGCTCTCATTGGGGAATGGATTCTGATAACCTAGTATGCATAACAAATGACAACAAATAGTTAGGTCCAAATTTCTATGCATATGGCTATCTAAATTTGAGAAATGAAGTATATAAGAATGTTATCGCTGGAAAAAAAGAGAATATCATACACCAAGGCACTCAAGCAGTTGGTAGTAAGCTCTTCCTTGGAGTGGATTGTGGCCTTTCCTTGGCGTGGAGAAATATCGTGTCCTGCAAGAAAGTTAATAATAAATTGAGGGGTAAAGCCAACACGCAATGCAATATGAATAAGAAATATGTAATCAGTAATAAAGCGGAAAAGATAAGGTGATAATTGTAAAATTGCAAACTCTACAAAAAGTATTCACATTTAAAATCATCAACTGTAAAGCAACAGTAATTGCTCCTCTTGATATACCAAAACCACAATAGGACTAAGAACAGCAATGAAAATTAATGTGAAAAATGAAGGAAAAATGTAAACAAGGCAAAAAAGAAGCCATTTCCTAAAATATTAATTAGCAATAATGTATCTGAGACAATCTGCCTATCATCAGGTTTTTGTAGGGTACAGAACACAAGTAACGAGTCTTAGTACATAAAAACAATAGATTCAGAAACAATAACTAAGAACTCACCACGAGTTGGTGACAATGGAATTAAACTTACCATTCAGTGTAGCCAGGATCAACTGTAAACCCATATATATCAACAATATCACACATGGACAATGCCAGTTCTATAGACTTCATTCCAGTTCCTTTGGCACCTCTGCGCAGCACAATTCCTTGGAAGAGATAAACAGGATTTGGAATGCTCTGCGATTGCCAATATGCAAAATGTTTTAATAATCCTTTCAAATAAAGTACTTTGGCATCAAATTGCGTGACCAATAATAGTTAACTCCTCGTATTTTTATCAAATGGGAAAATTCTTTTTTTTTTCTTAAAAAAAAAATGTAACATGCAATATTAACAAGGTACTGAAAGAGGGGGTACCAACCCGTAAGTATAGAGATTTACAAAGTAATTAGTATGTCAATGATATCTCCAAAATCCTCATCCCTAATAATATCATGACCCAGCAAACTAGTTCCAAAATAATTAATCTCCCTATCTCTTAATTTATACAAATATAATTTTTTCTCCTAAAAAACTCTAACATTTCTTTCTTTCCAAAGAACCCAGAAAACAATCAAAGGAATCAAGTGGGAAAATTCTAACAGGTAAACTTGAACATATGTTGAAAAAAACCCAAAGACATGAAGGCAGCAGTTTAGAACTCCTGCAGCTCATGCATTTGGCCAATAAATGATGTTGAATTCATTTCCTTTCATTTCTCTGACATATATTATCAAGTCTCTCATTTGGTTCAGTTCTCAGTTTACTCTTGTCTAATTCTGACACCCAATTACAAGATTTGTCTTGATATTTAAAATTATAACACAATTTCATATTATAACCACATTCTCACACCATTCTCGCACTGAATTATTTGGCTAGAGGATAAGAAATATTGACTTTGCAGACATGTTCTCACCTTTATCATGTCATTGAAGTCTCTATGGGTCACACTTTTAATTATAAGCACTTCGTCATCTGCACAAGAGAACCACTATAAATGCTGCAGCTCTTTAAAAGAGAGATCATCATATCAATGGAACTAAGCACCTTTTTCTGAGCAATGATAAAAATATCATATATAGGGTACAGAAAAAGCTAGACAAGAAAATAAGAAAGATCAGTTGATTTTAATCCTCTACCCTAAAATGTTGTATTATCCCTGAGTAAATTAAGGAAAAATAACAAAGTATGTTAAGGAACAATTGACACAGCATAATGTAACAAAGAATGTAAGAAGTAATAATGTATCTTAAAAAAATGGACCTTAAAGTTATTGTAAACAAATATGGCAAACCAGAAAGTGATGAAAATAGAAACAGGAAACTTGAAGTTCAATGCACCTAAACTGTCTAGATCCCAGAACTTGGATCAATAGATGAACTGCATAAAATTCCCTGGAATAGTTACTTAACTGCCTCATCTAAATCCTAAATGAAGGTTAACACTCACCAGACCCGTTCAAAATTTTGACCATATTGCGAGCGGCACCTCGAACTACAAGGCGGAAGTCCCTCTTCAGGCCAACATGCTTAGCATATTTCTGCTCATGTATAAATGGAAGACAAGAAATCATAAATTACTTAATTCTTACCTACTAAAAGTAGAAGCCATCCAAGAGCATCAAAATCATAGTGGATAAGAAAACGGCAAAAAATATCAGTTGCATGTATTAAACTAATAAGTTGCATTAAGTTATGTGCTTATTACATGAATAATTGTGAAATCAGACAAAAAATATTTTGCTAGAAATTACTAACAAAATTCCTTAGAAAAAAGGAAATGACTAACAAAAGAATTGTTCACTTAAGAAAAGTTCTAAGAAACTTGAAGCACAGATTTATCGTTGGCAATGCAAAATACTGAAGAATGAAATGCTCCACTATCATAAAACACTTATATATAATGGACAAAATTACCTGATTAACAGGAGCCTCATTGTCTCGTATAACAGCATTGTGACTATCAATCTCCTCTCCGAACTCCGTCTTTAAGAGATCTCCTGAATTTCCAACAACAGCACATGTGCGAAATTGACGGGGGTGGAAGGGCGGCTTTGCTGGTAGAAGCAAATTAAGGTGTTCCTCACATAGTGACCGATTGTAACATTTATCAGCTCCCCTGCAACAGCAAAGATAAATGAAAAGAAGCTTTCAATTCTCAAAAGCACACATGCTACTGGTTCAAATAACATAAGTTGTGAAACAGCACAAATGAACTGTGATAGAAGATATTTCAGGGCCATACAATTGTGCAATTCTCATTGCAGCATAATCCAACCATCCATCAGGCCGTGCATCAAGATATTCTCTTGTCAGCACAGTAGTCATATTCCGGTACTGCATTCATAGAAAAATCAGAGTGCTAATCATCTTAATGATAATTACCAAAAAGAATGGGTTGTCACTAACCTGTTCCCACAATAGAATTGCTTCACAGACATCATAATTATACTCCAATGGTTCATAAATCTTAAACTGTGCATTGTACTGGAATCAAGGGCAAGAAAATCAATGCTGATGAAGAGAAAAAATAAATGTAATCGTAAATATAGAATGAGAAAGAAACAGACCCATGTGCTGTTAGTGCCTTCAGGGAACTTAAGAATCAATTTGCAATGGTCAACAATATGTGCAGTAAGTCCAAGCCCTCTTCTTGCCTATGGAAGTATGGTAAAATATTAGCAGACTAGCAGCTTATACTTAACGACAACAAAGTTACTACTACTAATAAGAATACTTCCACGGATAATCTTATAGCCAGAAAAGGTTAATAACACAGAACTTGGTTCCTCGATGCTCCCACAAACAAAGCATAAAACCCTAATAAATTAGAAAAACCTATATCGTAAACTGAATACAACTAGCTACTGAAGCTTACTACAGTTCCAATTCAACAAAGAATAGACTATAGAGGGATCAGCGACACTTGCAAATAGATGGCAGTATTAATACTTGAACTAAAGTAGATTCAACCAAAATAACCCGAACTAAATAGATTCAATCAAGAAAGTGCAAGCAGATCTAACACCAAAGCTCAAAATAATTTAAGTAAAGCTCCGGATGAAGTAATTAATAAAGAAACGCAACATGGAAGTTCACCAGTAACAAACCAAGAAAAGAAACAAAAAAGATAACTAACCACGCATTGTTGAACGCTAGATTGAAATCAGATAAATATTTACTTCCTCCCGACTGAGAAAGGATTTTCTATCACC